CGCGGCGGGGCGACGTGGGAGCTGTCCGGGCCTGGCGCGCGGGGCGGCTGGCTGAGCCTCTGGTGGCGTGCATGGCCGGGGCGCGGCCTGTGGGCTCCTGGGACGTGGGGCCCCAGGCGGCGGGCGGTCCGAGTGGAGGCTGCTGGGATGCAGGCCTCGTGACTCAGGGGGTCCGAGTGGAGGCTGCTGGGATGCGCGGCTCCCGTGACTCGGGGGGTCCGAGTGGAGGCTGCTGGGATGCGCGGCTCCCGTGACTCGGGGGGTCCGAGCGGAGGCTGCTGGGATGCGGGGCTCCCATGACTTGCGGGCAGCCCGCCGCTACTCTGCACGTTGCGAGAGTGACCAGGGAGGCCTGGGCCCCCGAGGAGGGGCGGGCTGAGGGCAGGGTGGAGAGTGAGGGGTCGGAGGCTGAGACAAGAAGGGGCCGGAGGTGCCCAGGGTCGCCAGCGCAGGGCACCCCGCACCCGGGCATGGGAGCAGAGGTGGACTGGGGCCGTGGGAGCCCAGGCCTCTGGGAAAGGGTCCTGCGGGAGCTGGCGCCAGGCTGGGAGGGAGCACCCGCAGCGGCTGGCGGGGAGCAGTCTGTGCTCCCGGGAGGAGTGTTCAGGCCGGCGGCCTGGCCTTGTCCTCCCCGGATTACACCCAGCCCACCTCCCCAGGCATCATCGACCTGTCCCAAGTGCCACACCTGCCCGTGCTGGTGCCGCCGACGCCAGGCACCGCGGCTACGGCCATGGACCGCCTCGCCTACCTCCCTGCTGCCCCCCAGCCCTTCAGCAGCCGCCACAGCGGCTCCCCGCTCTCCCCAGGTAGCGCTGCCTGGCCCTGGGGTCTGTGGGAGGCGGCTGGGGTGTGGGCGGGCAGAGGCTTTGCGGCGTCTGTTCCACATGGAAGACGGCTCCATCGTGGAGCCTGGCTGAGTCTCCGCCTCTGGGTCTCAGGAGGCCCCCCGCACCTGACGAAGCCGGCCACCACGTCCTCCTCCGAGAGGGAGCGGGAGCGAGAGAAGTCCCTCCTCACAACCACCGCCACGGTGGAGCACGCGCCCATCTGGAGGCCCGGTAGGGCACCCGAGACCCCGCCCCGCGCCCCGGGGGTCCGTGTGGGCTGTGTGGGCCCGCCCCCTGACCCCAGCCTG